AAGTCAGTCTAAATTATTTTGTGTGGGTTGCAGTATAATAGCCTGGCCTTAGACTACTTTCTGGCTAAGAATACATAGTCCTGACCCTACATTACCTTGGCCACTTCTCAGGGTTGTGTGGACAGCAAGCAACCTTAAGGGATGAGATAATGCTTCCCTCTAGGACAAAGAGCAGGCTGAATTTCTCAAGCTCAGCATTTCTTGGCTGTGATGTAAACCAACTGCATGTCCAGCATTCATCATGGCCCCTCTGTGTCATCCCTGTGGGACTTAAAGGACATGGGGAGTCAACATGCTGTGCATGTTGCTGCTGTGCCATGAGAGACACATCCTTTGTCTCTGCTCCCAGAGTCTTGTGTCTTCTATCAGCATCTATAACACTTGTTAGCTTCTAAGAGGGTAATAGCTCAGACCCTTCACAGACCCTGACAATCAAGAATTAAGGGATTAAAAAAAAAGAATTAAGGGATTGCCCAGCCGGCATGGCTCAGTGGTTGAGTGTTGACCTATGAATCAGGAGGTCAAGGTTAGGAGACTAGCCAGCTGTAGTGGTGGGAGTGTGTGTATGGTGGGGGGTGAGGGGGAAGGTGCCCTATAGTGTGCCTTAGAGCATCCCTGGGTGAAAAAAAATATTCATGAGATCACATATGCAGGCTGTATAAGAGGACCAGTCATCCAAGATTGGGGGTTCCCTGAAATGTGGGACTTTTAAAAAAGCAGACTGGCCGGGACCGGTTTGGCTCAGTGGATAGAGCGTCGGCTTGCAGACTGAGGGGTCCGGGGTTCAATTCCGGTCAAGGGCATGTGCCTGGGTTGCGGGCACATCCCTGGTGGAGGATGTGCGGGAGGCGGCTGATCGATGTTTCTCTCTCATCGATGTTTCTGGCTCTCTATCTCTCTCCCTTCCTCTCTGTAAAAAATCAATAAAATATATTAAAAAAAAAAAGCAGACTGAATTTTTTAAAAAGAAACTCACTTCAAATATAATTATACTAGAGGCTTGGTGCACAGATTTGTGCACTGGTGGGATCCCTTGCCCTGGCCTGCACCCTCTCACAATCCGGGACCCCTTGGGGAATGTCAAACTGCCAGTTTCGGCTCGATCCCCGCAGACCAGACAGAGGGACCCCACCGGTGGATGGAATTCATGCACCGGGCCTCTAGTATGCATATAAGATCTTTGGTTAGTTTCTTCCGCCCCCCCCCCCCCCCCCATTCCTCTGAGATTCATCAGTCTGTTCCATGTTTCCATGCCTGTGCATTGAGTGTCTGCCCCCTGGTGGTCAGTGCATGTCATAGCTACGGGTCAAATGGTTGAATGGTTGAACAGTTGCTTAGGCCAGTGGTCGGCAAACTGCAGCTCGCGAGCCACATGTGGCTCTTTGGCCCCTTGAGTGTGGCTCTTCCACAAAATACCGACTTCTGCGCATGGGCCATGAAGTTTCAATCACACTGTACGTGTGTGCCCTCACGTGGTATTTTGTGGAAGAGCCACACTCAAGGGGCCAAAGAGCCGCATGTGGCTCGCCAGCTGCAGTTTGCCAACCACTGGCTTAGGCTTTTATATATAGATAGGTACTTTAAAAGTAAGGGGATGAAAAAAGATATACCATACAAACATGAACTAAAAGAAAACTGGACAAACTAGACTTTAGAGCAGCGGTTCTCAACCTGTGGGTCGCGACCCCTTTAGGGGTCGAATGACCCTTTCACAGGGGTCGCCTAATACCATCGGAAAACACATATATAATTACATATTGTTTTTGTGATTAATCACTATGCTTTAATGATGTTCAATGTGTAACAATGAAATTGGGGGTCACCACAACATGAGGAACTGTATTAAAGGGTCGCGGCATCAGGAAGGTTGAGAACCACTGCTTTAGAGTAAAAATATAACCTGAGTAGCCCTATTGCCGGGAGCCGGTCCATGCTTGCTGTTTCAAGGGACCTGGCATATATGGCATACTGTTCTTAATATGTTTGCTCACCTTCTTGGCACTATGTGTTTTAACCAAGGTCTCCTCTCTGAGAAAGGTTGTTTCCCCAGGTAGGGATTTTCCCCTGAAGTTAGGGAGGGAATAAAACCTCTTAACTAAGTGTCAGGTGGGTAATTAATCACTTTAACTACGAACAATCATGCTTAAGCTACATAATCTTTACTCCCTGGAATGGAGATAAGAAACGCCCTAACCTTTGGAATAGAGATTGATAGGATTGGAATCAACTGGTATAAATACAGATGTAAGAAGACAGAACCAAGAGAGACAGAACCAGAGAAGACAGAACCTACACAGAACCTACAGACAGAAGAACTTCGCTGGAGAGAACATGGCAAAAGATCCTGGACTGAACCTGACTACAGAAATTGGCAAGAGAACCTGACTAGAACCTGGTGACTGAACCTGGCTGGAGAACCTGGACAGAACCTGGCTGGAGAACTTAGCGCGGGAACATGGCTACAGAACCTGGCTGGAGAACCTGGGGAACCTAGCAAGAGAACTTGGACACAGACCCTGGCAGGAGATCCGAACCAGAACTTCGCTAGAGATCCTGGCTAGGCTGCTGATCAACCGAACGCTGTCTCCATGTCATTCCTTCTTCGCCGACTCCGTCTACGCCTTTGGGGACCCCTGGACCCGCTGGGGTTGGACCCCGGCAGTTCTTAATATGTTTGCTCACCTTCTTGGCACTATGTGTTTTAACCAAGGTCTCTGAGATAGGTTGTTTCCCCAGGTAGGGATTTTCCCCTGAAGTTAGGGAGGGAATAAAACCTCTTAACTAAGTGCCAGGTGGGTAATTAATCACTTTAACTACAAACAATCATGCTTAAGCTACATAATCTTTACTCCCTGGAATGGAGATAAGAAACGCCCTAACCTTTGAAATAGAGATTGATAGGATTGGAATCAACTGGTATAAATACAGATGTAAGAAGACAGAATGAAGCCGAAACCGGTTTGGCTCAGTGGATAGAGCGTCGGCCTGCGGACTGAAGGGTCCCGGGTTCGATTCCGGTCAAGGGCATGTACTGGGTTGCGGGCATATCCCCAGTGGGAGATGTGCAGGAGGCAGCTGATCGATGTTTCTCTCTCATCGATGTTTCTGACTCTCTATCTCTCTCCCTTCCTCTCTGTAAAAAATCAATAAAATATATTAAAAAAAAAAAAAAAAAGAAGACAGAATGAAGAGAGACAGAATCTAGGCACAGAACCTACACAGAACGTTCTCTAGAGACAGAAGAACTTCACTGGAGAGAACATGGCAAAAGATCCTGGACTGAACCTGACTACAGAAATTGGCAAGAGAACCTGACTAGAACCTGGTGACTGAACCTGGCTGGAGAACCTGGAGAACCTGGCTGGAGAACCTAGCAAGACAACATGGATACAGAACCTGGCTGGAGATCCGAACCAGAACTTCGCTGGAGATCCAGACCAGAACTTGGCTGGAGATCCTGGCTGGAGATCCTGGCTAGGCTGCTGATCAACTGAACGCTGTCTCCGTGTCATTCCTTCTTCGCCAACTCCGTCTACGCCTTTGGGGACCCCTGGACCCGCTGGGGCTGGACCCCAGCACCCTATAATTACTAAGGAAAGTTTTAAAACTTTCTGAAAAATAAATATCCAGGTCCAAATGGTTTCACTGGTGAATTTTGCCCAATATTTAAAGAATAAATAACAATAAATATACATTATCTTTTCCAGAGAATAGAAGAGGAGGAAAAACTTCCTAACTCATATTATACTGATGTCAACACCAAAGATGGTAGAAATAAACAAAACTAGACACCAATATCTCTGATAAACATAGATGCAAAAACCCTCAACAAAAATGTTAGAAGTCTGAATCCAGAAATATATAAAAAGAGTAATATACCATCACCAAGGGGGGTTTATTCCAGGAATGCAAAAATCTATCATAATAACACCTAAAGAAGAAAAACCACAAAAACATATCAATAAATTTTTAAAAAGCCACAAAAACATATCAATAAATTAAAATAAATTAAAAATAAGCCCTAACCGGTGTGGCTCAGTGGATAGAACACTTTAAAAGACATCCAAAATAATAATTTTAAAAAAAACCTCTCAGCAAACTAGACTAGAGAAGAACTTTCCCAACCTTAGAAAGGGCATCTACAAACAGACTTATAGCTAACATCATATTTAATGAAGAAAGACTGCATGCTTTTCTCCTAAGATTAGGAACAAGGCAAAGATATCTACTTTTTCTAGTCAACATAGTACTAACAGTCTTAGTGCAATAAGTCAAGAAAAAGAAATAAAAATATACAAATTGTAAAGGAAGAAATATAGCTGTCTTTATTCACATAAGACAAATTTATAGATCCAAAGAATTCCAGAGAAGCTACAGAAATACTCTTAGAACTAATGAGTTTAGCAAAGTCAGATACTAGGTCAATTTACAAACACCAATCATACTTTCATAAATGAGCAACGAACAATTGGAAACAATTTTTAAATAATCATATCTACAATAACTCCAAATAATGAAATATTTGGATATAAATCTAACAAAACATGTCTAAGATCTGCATGTTGAAACTTACAAAATGCTGATGAAAGAAATCGAAGAATGTATGTCAACAAAAAAAAAAAATCAAAGAAGACTAAATCATTGGAAAGACATGCTGTGTTCATGGACTGAAGACTCAAAATAGTAAAGATGCCAATTCTCTCCAAATTATTCTACAGATTTAAAGCAATTTCAATGAAAATTGCAGCAGAATTTTTGTAGATATAGTCAAGCTGATTCTAAAATTTATATGGAATGCCAAAAGAACTAAAATATCTAAAACATTTTTTAAAAAGAACAAATAAGCCCTAACCGGTGTGGCTCAGTGGATAGAACACTTGCCTGCGGACTGAAGGATCCCAGGTTTGATTCCGGTCAAGGGCATGTACCTTGGTTGCGGGCACATCCCCAGTGGGGAGTGTGCAGGAGGCAGCTGATCGATGTTTCTCTCTCATCGATGTTTCTAACTCTCTATCTCTCTCCCTTCCTCTCTGTAAAAAATCAATAAAATATATATTTTTAAAAAGAACAAATAAAAGAAATTTTAAGGCTAACGTATAGTGACATAGATCAGATCAGTGATTTCTTTGGGATGGGAGCAGGCATACAGAGGAACCAAAGGAAAAGATAACAAAGGGATACAGGGAAAGTCTTGGGGGTAGTGGATAGATTCATTATCTTGCTTGTGGGAACAAACTTATCAAATTGTGTACTTTAAGTATGTATAGGTCAATTATAACTCAATAAAGCTATTTTAAAATATTCTTTCCAAAGTAATATATTACTTTTATATCTACGAGGTGGCAGTTGGAACCATGGAGGTTGCCAAAGTGTTTAATTCACATCCTCTAGCATTATTTAATTTTTAAAATAATATATAGGAAGAGTAAGATGAAGGTAGGTTCCCATTGCAGCACATTTTATAAGATTATGATGAAAATAAAAAGGAACATAATTGTAGTAGATCTTTAGCAGATTGCTATTTAGTAGTTTGAAGCTTTAGGCATAGTAAGTATGAACTGCAGAATAGAGAACAGGTATAGTCTCTTCCCTCTGCCCCTGTCCACCAGCAATTTGTAAAGAATCAAGAGGCTGGTTGACAGTTGAACAATTCTTGACATTTTTGTAGTACCTTTGCAGAAGGCCTTATAGTATGTTATCAAACCCACCTGCCACTCCTTGTTAACAATCTCTACATTTAAAAAAGAGTAAATAAAAATGTAATTCTGTTATAACATCATTGCTTCAGGTTTTGGTAACTAGATAGAAATTTCAGCTCCAGCATTTTCTAGCTGTCTGCAAAGTTTCCCCCAGTAGGAAAGAAGGCCTGTCAGCCTACAAAAGGATAGGGAGGAATTCCTTTGACCCCCAGGCCAGTTATCTGTTAAAAAAAGAAAAGAGAGAAACTGTGATAAAAAGTAATCCACAGGCATTTTTCAAAAGCACTTTTATGATTCACATTATATATTTAACCACCTATTATTCTTATTTTATTCCCTATCATAAAAAGGAATTACTTGATTAGGTATTTATGATCTAACCCAGTTTTTCACACAGATAATAATCTAAACAGCAACCATTTACAACTAACTGGGATTTAAAGCTGAATTTATTTCTATAATTTCACAACTATTAAGAAAGGGATTTGAACCAAATGATTTCTAAATTTCTTTTCAGCTCAAAAAGTCTATACTTTTTATCAGTATTTGTTTTGTTGTAAAAAATTAAAAACCTGAAAATATTCTTGTGACATCAAAACAATCAACTAATCTTATTTATTTATTCATTATATATTTTTATTGATTTCAGAGAGGAAGGGAGAGGGAGAGATAGAAACATCAATGATGCGAGAGAATCATTGATTGGTTGCCTCCTGCACGCCCTCCCCCCCACTGGGGTTTGAGCCCATGAGCTGGGTTTGTGCCCTGAGGGCATATACCCTGACTTGGAATCAAACCCTGAATCAAACTGGGAATCCAACTGTGACCTCCTGGTTCATAGGTTGACGCTCAACCACTGAGTCACGCTGGCCGGGCCAATCAACTGATCTTATGAGCATGTTTCAAATACTGGTTTTCCAAGCCCATCCTACTGATTTATAGAATTTCAGCAAACACTACTGAAGTAAAAATTATTTTTAAGAACTGTAAAAGGAGTCTAAAAATGTTGTCCTGGACTTCAGATAACTTTCAGTCTAGAAAATCTAAGTAAAACGTTTTGAAGTGTAGCATGATGAGCTTAAAATGCTAACTGGAATTATGTCTTGGAAGTATGAAAAAGCACCGATCACTTGATTATACTTAACTGAGGATCTCCCACCTCATCCTCAATGAAAAGAAATAGCCAGATCACCTTGAAAATTCCACCCGCTTCAGGTTGCCGCAAAAGATCCTCAGGGCCTATTCCATCCCGGGCACAGGTCACGTACATTTCAGAGTAATCCTTCCCTCCAAAGCAACAGGAGGTGGTTTTATCCACAGGCAACTTCACAGTTTGGAGTCTTTTCCCTAGATCAGTGGTCGGCAAACTCATTAGTCAACAGAGCCAAATCTCAACAGTACAACGATTGAAATTTCTTTTGAGAGCCACATTTTTTAAACTTAAACTAGATAGGTAGGTACATTGGTATTAACTTAATTAGGGTACTCCTAAGCTGGCCTTTGCTAAAAACATCCTCAATCTGATTCTGAGGTCAACCCCTTCCACCTCTCCCATCCTCAACTCCTGCACAGGAATCGCGCGCTGCGTACCCGGGGTCCTCTCACGCAGCGTCTCCCGTCGCCCAACCGACCGACACCTCCCACTTCTTCTAACGCCACTTCTTCAAAATAGACTTGCCCAGGCCGAAAACCGACTTCTGTGCATGGGCCACGAAGTTTCAATCTCACTGTACGTGTGCGCCCGCATGTGGTATTTTGTGGAAGAGCCAAAGAGCCGCATGTGGCTCGCGAGCCGCGGTTTGCCGACCCTGCCCTAGAGCACCAAATATTTTATTTAAAGTCTATTTCTAGCAAATTCCCAACCTGCAAAAGCTTTCCGGACCCTTTCCAGAGTAATAGAAGAGTTTAAAGAAGATGGTAGAGGTCACATTTCAACCACGTATAGCACCTACCTTCCCTGACAATTTATTTGTTTTGAGCAAAAAGACTTATCTGCACAGGAAAAGAAGTTCTGACTATAAACTGGGGGCTATCTATTTGGCCTTGATTTCTAAAATCATCCAATTGGCACCTTCGAATATAGGGTGTCCCCCAAAAATGTATACACACACTTTGAATAATTATAAAGGCAGTGTTTATTAAAATGTATTTTATTTTCAACATTGAGCTACCAGGCCCTGGCTGGTTTTGCTCAGTGGATAGAGCGTCAGCCTGCGGACTGAAGGGTCCCAGGTTCAATTCCGGTCAAGGGCACATGCCGGGGTTGCAGGCTCCATCCCCAGTAGGGGGCATGCAGGAGGCAACCAACCAATGATTCTCTTTCATCATTGATGTTTCTATTTTTCTCTCCCTCCCTTTCTGAAATTAATAAAAAATATATTTTAAAAAATTGAGCTATCAGCTGTTATAGTGTGTATTCATTTGGAGGGATACCCTGTATATTGCTGTCTAACTTTATTAATAATGAATTTTCTCTAGTCCCTAGTGTCTGGTGTTTCTAGACATGACAGGGATTTTCCATTGTGTTGTGAGCCTACCTGTCTCAGGATCTAAACGAATCACTCTTCCTCCATTGTAACAGGCCACCCAGAGCTTCCCCTCGGCATCGATACACATTCCATCTGGGATTTGTTCGTCTTTCTCCAGCTTGTAAACACTTCTGCGGTTGGCTACGGTTTGAAAAAAAGCACCCCCCCCCCAAACAACAAGCTACTCAATACTAAGCACCAAACAATGAGCAATCAAATGATTATAAATACTGACCACTTCTGCTTATCTGGGTTCTGGTGTATGGGAACCACAGGCGGGATGGTTCAAAAGGATTCCTAACTCTAAACAATGACCACAAATCTGATGGGTACCCCTCAACAAAGGATTTTCACCACATGATTTGGGGTGGATTCATCCTTTAGGTTGGGTACACACATGTCTGTCGAAGCTTTCAGAGGAGAGAAAAAAGAAAGCAGAATTCTTTTTTTTTTTTTTTTATATATTTTATTGATTTTTTACAGAGAGGAAGAGAGAGAGATAGAGAGTTAGAAACATCGATGAGAGAGGAACATCGATCAGCTGCCTCCTGCACACCTCCTATTGGGGATGTGCCCGCAACCCAGGTACATGCCCTTGACCGGAATCGAACCCGGGACCTCTCAGTCCACAGGCTGACGCTCTATCCACCGAGCCAAACCGGTTTCGGCTGCAGAATTCTTTTTAAAAAATTGATTTCAGAGAGGAAGGGAGAGGGAGAGAGATAGAAACATCCATGATGAGAGAGAATCACTGATCGGCTGCCTCCTGCACGCCCCCTACTGTGGATCGAGCCCTCAACCCAGGCATGTGCCCTTGACTGGGAATCAAACCGTGACCTCCTGGTTCATGGGTCAATGCTCAACCACTGCCATCAGCCAGGCAGGAAGTAGAATTCTTAATAAAATACCAATAGGCCCTGGCCAGTTTTGCTCAGTGGATAGAGCATCGGCCTGTGGACTGAAGGGTCCCGGGTTTGATTCCAGCCAACGGCACATGCCCGGGTTGCTGGCTTGATCCCCAGTAGGGGGCTTGCAGGAGGCAGCCAGTCAATGATTCTCTCTCATCATTGATGTTTCTATCTCTCTCTCCCTCTCCCTTCCTCTCTGAAATCAATAAAAAAATATAAAATAAAATAAAATACCAATATATCTTTTTGAGGCTGAACTGAATTCCCTCATGACCACCTCAGATATATAGGGTGTCCCAAAAAATGTATACATGCACTCTGAATAATTATAAAGGCAGTGTTTATTAAAATACAATTCATTTACAAAATTGAGCAATTAGCTGTTAAAATGTGTATACATTTTTTTGGGACACCCTGTACTTCAGCCTGTGGTTAGACCTTTGCAGTTTTACTTACAAAATGCCTACTTTGATTAACCTCAAGATCTAGAAGGCAACTCAATGGTGCCATGTGAACAATTCATTCACAAAAACTAGTACAATGTATGAGTTCTGTTTCTGCCTAATGCTTCATAATCACCTTATCAAAATGAAATGTTACAAGAGTTTCTTTCACCCTAACTGGTTTGGCTCAGTGGATAGAGCGTCGGCCTGCGGACTGAAAGGTCCCAGGTTCGATTCCGGTCAGGGACATGTACCTTGGTTGTGGGCACATCCCCAGTAGGAGATGTGCAGGAGGCAGCTGATCGATGTTTCTCTCTCATCAATGTTTCTAACTCTCTATCCATCTCTCTTCCTCTCTGTAAAAAATCAATAAAATATATTTTTTTGAAAAGAAAGAGGATTAAAGGTCTATCCATATTATGCCACCTGTGGCCACATTTAGTTGTGTTAAGAGCCATGATCAACTGCATTATAGTCAAGTGTGTGTAATCATTACCATACTAGGATAATATCATTGGACAGCTCTCTATTTGACGAAGTAAGGATCTTTACACATGGGTGGAGGGACAGGCAGCTTACTAATGATATACATAAGAAAAAATATGAGCAGTATTAAGGAAAATAATGAAAAAGTATGTACAGATCTTTCCTGTGTGCAAGTCATAGTCGAAAGCATCCACGGAGTAGGACAGGCTGTCTATGTAATAGAAGATTTTGTGGTCCAGGGACCAATCCAAGCCATTGGAGATGTCCACCTGGTCAAAGTACTTTTCCACATGGTGGTCAGGAAAGAGGCAGTACAGGGACCCTTGATGCCGCTCCAGAACTCCTGGGGCTGTTTCTTCAGCCATGGTGCCTACAAAAACCAAAGACCGCTGAGCTCAGCCCCACAGCATCTTGCCCATGGTGGCACTATCTTTTCTTACCAGGGTTCCTTCTCACGATTAAATCAAGGAATTTATACAATCCCAATCTGGGTCCTATATTTTTAAAAAATGACAACTACTGCCCAGCTGGCGTGGCTCAGTGGTTGAGCGTTGACCTATGAACCAGAAGGTCACGGTCAGGGCACATGCCCATGCTGCAGGCTCAATCCCCAGTAGGGAGTGTGCAGAAAGCAGCTGAACTGTGATTCTCATCATTGATGTTTCTCTGTCTCCCTCTCCCTTCTTCTCTGAAATCAATAAAAATATATGAAAATAAAAATGACAACTACCTTGCTTGTAATGCAAATCAAAACTACACAGGTTCTAGTTCCAGATAACAAGGAGTCCATGTGCACCAATATCATTTTCTCCCACTGAGCACAGCTATACAACTTGGTCAAAATGCAAGGCATAGCTGTTTGGGAACTCAGAAAGTAAATGTCAGGAAGTTCAGAGAAGAACACCATTTTAAAGTACCACTTAGTTGGTGTTGAGTTTTCCATTTTATCCTCTAGGATGCCCCAGCATCCTGCAACTGAACTTAGCACAGCCTGAACTTGAAGTGAGTACTGCGGTGCAGACAGAGATCCAAGAGAAACCCTCAAGTTGTGGCTCCAGGAGCAGAAAAGAAAACTCCTGAGGTTCAGAGGAGTAGAAGAAATACCCTGGTTATTTTTCCAATTGGATTTATTGGGGTGACATTGGCTAATACAATCATACAGGTTTCATGTATACAATTCTGCAACACATCATGTGTATATATATATATTTTTAAATATATTTTATTGATTTTTTACAGAGAGGAAGGGAGAGAGATAGAGAGTTAGAAACATCGATGAGAAAGAAACATCGATCAGCTGCCTCCTGCACATCTCCTACTGGGGATGTGCCCACAACCCAGGTACATGCCCTTGACCGGAATCGAACCTGGGACCTTTCAGTCCGCAGGCCGACGCTCTATCCACTGAGCCAAACCGGTTTCGGCCATCATGTGTATATTGTACTGTGTGTTCACCATCCCAAGTCAAGTCTCCTTCAATCACCATTTATCCCCACTTTCCCTTCTTCTAGCTCCTCCTCCTCCTCTCCTTCTGGCAATTTCCACTCCCTTTTCTCCATTCTCTCACGCATCGGTCCCCAGGCAATTCTGCAGCAAGGGTAGCAACAGTAGAGTGTGTCCAGCAACAGAAAACTACAGGAATCAAATCTCTGAGGGGAAGGAACATTCTGTTCCATTTGGTGAAGTCACAGCTCCAAAAGGGCAGAACCGAACACGGTTGCTTTTATGTTCGCTCTCTCTCTGTCCTCCTGCCATTTGACCTTGGAGGGAGCACAATCATAGATATGGGTGGTTTCAGGCTGGAGGAATGAAAGGAGAGTTCTAGCAAGCTGAACGTACCCAGAGAGAGTGAAGAGGGTGTTGCACAGTAATGCAACCCCATAAAATGATCTGTGATCTGGACTCATTCTACTTGTACATGCATGGATATGATTCCAATTAGCATATCAAACAGAGAGTGGTGCTGTGGATAGAATTCATTCTAAGTCTCAGACTGACTACCAAGTGGCATGCATGTGGGACAAAATCTAATGGCACCTAAGAGAAAGCAGGTTGGAACTTGTGGTCTGAGGTCTGAGCCTAAACATACAGATTACTTACTAAAACTAATATATAAACATTCTTCATAGGATTTAAACAAGACTCAGGGTCTCATAACATAATAGTAAAAATGGTCAGGATACTGTTCAAAATTACTTGGCAACACAAAGAAGCATGAAAATCTCAATTTGTATAGGAAAAGCAGCAACAGACGCAGAGAGCAAAATGGCACAGATGTTGGAATTATTTAACAAAGATTAAAACAGCTCTTATGAGAAATTTGTAAACCATCTTGAAATAAAGCTCAAAATAGAAAATATCAGCAAAGAAATAGAAGATATAAAGGATAATCAAATGAAAATTTTAGAAGTGAAAAAATAACTGAACTTAAAAAATCTTACTGGATGGACCTGACAGAAGAAAAAAGATGACAGAGGAAAGAGTTGGCATACATATGTTAGGTCAATAGAAATTTATTTGAATCTGACCAACAGAGATAATAAAGATTGGAAAAAATGAACAGAGCTTTAGGGACCTGTAGGACAACAATAAAAGAGCTAACATACTGGATTCCCAGAGAAGAGGAAAAAGAATACAAGGCCAAAAAATATTTTAAGAAGTAATGGCTCAAAACTCCTCAAATTTGGTGAAAAGCACAAAACTATAGATCCAAGGAGCTGAGCAAACCCAAAACAGGATAAACCCAAAGAAACCTATACCTAGATACATCATAGTCAAATTTCTGAAAACTAAAGTAAAATAGAAATTCTTGAGATTAATGAAAGAAAAATCACATATTAAATATGGGGGAATAATGAGTTCAATGACCATAAATTTTTCATGAGAATCCATGGAGGTCAGAAGGAAGTGACACATTTTAAATTTCCTGAAAGAAAAAAAAAGTGTCAACCTCAAATACTATCTTCACTGAAAATATCCTTTAAGAATGAGGGTGAAAGTTTGTTCTAGGTCTGTGAAATATGCCGAACTTTCCAAAAATTCATCTGGAATTAAAAAAAAGACCCCGAATAGCTGCAGCAATCCTTAGAAAGAAGAACAAAGTGGGAGGGATCTCAATACCAGATATCAAGCTGTATTACAAAGCCACTGTTCTCAAAACTGCCTGGTACTAGCACAAGAACAGACATATAGATCAATGGAATGGAATAGGGAACCCAGAAACTGACCCAAGCCACTATACTCAATTAATATTTGATAAAGGAGGCATGAATATACAATGGAGTCAAGACAGTCTCTTCAATAAATGGTGTTGGGAAAATTGGACAGATACATGCAAAATAATGAAATTAGACCACCAACTTATACCATACACAAAAATAAACTTAAAATGGATAAAGGACTTAAACATAAGAGGGGAAACCATAAAAATACTAGAGGAATCCACAGGCAGCAAAATCTCAGACATACGCTGAAGCAATTTCTTCACCGATACAGCTCCTAGGGCAATGGAAACTAAGGAGAAAATAAACAAATGGGACTACATCAAAATAAAAAGTTTTTGCACAGCAAAAGAAACCATCAACAAAACAACAAGAAAGCCCACTGCATGGGAGAACATATTTCCCAATGTCATCACCAATAAGGGTTTAATCTCCAACATTTACAGGGAACTCACACAACTTAACAAAAGGAAGATAACCCAATCAAAAAATGGGCAACGGACCTAAATAGACACCTTTCAAAAGAGGACATAAGGAATGCCAAGAGACATACGAAAACATGCTCAAAGTCACTAATCATCTGAGAAATGCAAATCAAAACAACAGTGAGGTACCATCTCACACCTGTCAGAATGGCTATCATCAACAAATCAACAAACAACAAGTGCTGGAGAGGATGTGGAGAAAAAGGAACACTTGTGCACTGCTGGTGGGAATGCAGACTGGTGCAGCCACTATGGAAGACAGTATGGAGTTTCCTCAAAAAACTAAAAATGGAACTCCCATTTGACCCAGTGATCCTGCTTCTAGGAATATATTCCAAGAAACTAGAAACAACAATCAGAAAGGATATATGCACCCCTAGGTTCATAGCAGCACAATTCACCATAGCAATGATCTGGAAACAGACTAAATTCCCATCAGCAGATGAGTGGATTAGAAAACTTTGGTACATCTACACGATGGAATACTATGCTACAGTAAAAAAGAAGGAATTCTTACCATTTGCAACAGCATGGATGGAACTGGAGAGCATTATGCTAAGTGAAATACGCCAGTCAGAGAAAGAGAAATATCACATAATGTCACTCATTTATGGAAAATAATGAACAACATAACCTGATGAACAAAAACAGACCCAGGGACAGAGAAGCATCAATTAGACCGTCAAACCTCAGAGGGAAGGTAGGGGAGGGTGGGGGGAAGGGGGAGAGATCAACCAAAGGACTTGTATGCATGCATATAAGCCTAACCAATGGACACAGACAACAGGGAGGTGAGGACATGAGTGGAGGGGTGGGAGGGCAATGGGGAGATAAGGACACATATATAATACCTTAATCAATAAAGAAATTTAAAAAAAGAATGAGGGTGAAATAAAGACATTCTCACATAAAGTAAAACCAAGAGAATGCATAGCCAGTAGACCCACTCTAAACTAATTGCTAAAGGAACTTCTTTAGACAGTAGGGAAATGATACCAAAAGGAAGCATGAAACACAGGAGGTATTTTAGTAGTAAAGGCACATGATATATGCAACTTACTTTCAAGTGATTCTGGAGAAAAATTTATACATGTAGAGAGATAAATGGAGCAAAGTGTTGACAATAGGTACATTCAGATAAAGGGTACACAGATGTTCGTACAATTCTTACTTCTTTCTGTAAATTTGAAATTATTTCTAATGTAAACATCAACAACAAAGCTTATATGTTTAAAACTTATTTAAGCCATAACGTTATCATACAAATTTTGGTCTCTGTTAGAGACAGAAGCTGAAAGAATATCTGAAGTTTTTCTCATGGGGTTTTTTTTTTAGTGGTACAAATTACTCAAGTTAATAACAAAAGAACCCAAGACATTTTTACCACTAAAGCAGTGAGACTTTTATCAGTGTTGTTTTTTTTTGTTGTTGCCAAGCTCAGTAAGTAGGTGCTAAAGATAAACCATACCAGCAAAGTATCTCCCAGCGGGATCCACCTTCCCATCATTGAATCGATTGTTTTTCTTGTCTTGATCTATGGTGGCCAGGACAATGGCTGACTGATCTTCCCAGTCCAAAGCACAAAACTTTGTTCCAACGGTGGCGACATAGCCTCCCAACTGGCGGAGGGCCACGGAGCTGACTGGGGCGTCTGCAGAGGCAAAAGCCACAATCAGGATTCAGCATGCAGCCCAGGGGCCGAGCAGCGCGCTGAGCCTATCATGCCACCTGCCGTCGCCAAGAGGATTGCAGCCCTTTCGACAATGGTGTGCTCGCTTCCTTCTGTTGATGAAGGATAGAATGAAGGCTACAGAACCCGAGGATACTTGTTGATAATAAAGTCCAGGCACTGTTCTGGACAGCAGGCACAGAAAGGTGAGTGAAATTCAACCCTATTGGAAGCTCCCAGTCTAGCAGAGAAGTGGAACCCCAGCAGCCACCACACATTGGGGCAGGCGCCACATCAAGTTCAGAGGAGGGATTCCTAACTGTGTGTGTGTGTGTGTGTGTGTGTGTGTGTGTGTGTGTGTGTGTGTGTTGTGGTGGTGGTGGTGGTGGTGGTGGTGGGTGGGCACCAAAGCAGTTGTCACAGAACAAGAGATGCTAAATTTGTCTGCTCTCCAGGAAATTCAGAGACACACTGTTTAGTTTCAGCAACTAGGCTTTGTGACATTCTTCTCTCCCTCCAGTACAGGACATTCCTTTTTAAGGGGCCCTATTTAATTAAAAATTACATAAAAATTTAAAATTTATTTCAGCCCTAGCTGGTTTTCCTCAATGGATAGAGCGTCAGCCTGTGGACTGAAGGATCCTGGGTTTGATTCTGGTCAAGGGCACATGCCTGGGTTGTGGGCTCCATCCCCAGTAGGGGGTGTGCAGGAGGCAGCCGATCAATGATTCTCTGTCATCATGGATGTTTCTAACTCTCTCTCCCTCTCCCTTCCTCTCTGAAATCAATAAAATATATTAAAAATTCTTTAAAAATAAAATTTATTTCAATTAAATAATTTAGATAGCAGTCTCCAGCTTCCAATGCTCTTATCTGAATGTGTGAAGGAAAGATCCGATAGCACGTCATTATTGGAACAAAATGGGGAATGCTGCCCCTCCTTCACAGAGGAAGAGGGAAGTACTGACCATCCAGAATGTACTCCTGGCTCAAAGGGGGAGAGCGACAGCCCTGGCTGGTGTTTCCCAGTGGGTAGAGCATTGCCCCTCTCACTGAAGGGTCACGGGTTCGATTCCTGGTCTAGGGCATGAACCTGGGTTGCGGGTTTGATCCCTAGCTCTGGTCAGGGTCTGTGCGGGAGGCAACCAATTGATGTGTCTCACACTGATGTTTCTTCCTTCCTTCCTTCCTTCCTTCCTTCCTTCCTTCCTTCCTTCCTTCCTTCCTTCCTTCCTTCCTTCCTTCCTTCCTCTCTCTCTAGAAAGCAATGGTGAGGATTAACAAAAGTGGAGGACACAGACAGCTTGACAATCCCAGAGCTTTACAGCATATTCAGCTTTCACATGAAGGTCCCAGGGGAATGACACTTGAGGTGACCTCCCTTCCCCAGAGAAAAGATGGCTGGCTGGGTGGATCTGAGCCCCGCCTTCATCCTTACCCACAGTCACTCGATGAACTTGCTTGCTGAGCGAATCCCACCGGCAAACCTTCTTTGAAGGAATATCTACGAAGAGCAGAGAGTTGGTCGCTTCCTCCCACACTGGAGACTCCCCGCACCGGCAGTTCTCTGGCAGGACACACTCAATCTTAATGGAACACATGGTCATGGGGGATCTACTGAAGGCGACAGAGACAACATGCAACGTGATCTCATGGAGCGAATTCAGTGCGGCATCTGGCTTGAGGCCCCGGTAAGCTGCCAATAGACACTAAGTTGTTTTTATTAGAACTAGAAAAGCTAGGCACACTTTCTCAAAATCAGAACAAAATATGTAATGTGGCTGAAAAAGAACTAAGAGCGGATAGGCGATAGCATGAGACATCTTCAATCAACTTGCCAGGCCTTTTTTCCAAGCTAGCTTCTATTTTTTTTTAAATATATTTTTTATTGATTTCAGAGAGGAAGAGAGAGGGACAGAGAGATAGAAACATCAATGATGAGAGAGAATCATCAATTGGCTGCCTCCTACACCCCCCCCCCCCCACTGGGGATCGCGCCCACACCTGGGCATGTGCCCTGACCGGGAATTGAATCATGACCTCTTGGTTCATAGGTTAATGCTCAACCACTGAGCAACACCGGCCAGGCCAAGCTATCTTTGTGTGTGTGTGTGTGTGTGTGTGTGTGTGTGAGAGAGAGAGAGAGAGAGAGAGAGAGAGAGAGAGAGAGAGAGAGAAAGAGAGAGAGAGAGAGAGAGAGTCCAACATCCACACCTAGGTGTTGGTGACCCTCAGAGAGCCAGCTCAGAGGTGGCAAGGTTGCTCTTCATGCCAGACCCCAGCCGCTAAGGTGGACCGGGTTGGGGGGAGGGGGAGACAAAGGGGGGGTGGGAGGGGCGGAGCACCCTCACTGCTGGCTGCTCTGGGAGTCTGAGGTCACCTTCTCTTGCTGCCGTCCCCATGCGTTGATGTTGATTCACTTCCCTGACCACTCAAAGGCCAGCGCCTCCCCACTTTGCATTTTTTCTGAGCTGCATTTTAAAGTACAGTGGGGCCTTGACTTACGAGTTTAATTCGTTCCGTGACGGAGGTCATAACTCAAATTACTCGTATGTCAAATCAAAAAGTGAACAAGTGAGACATGTGATGCTGGGCTGATGTTGTGGCGTTCACTGTGACGTTCGCTGCGCCAACTAGCGGTGGGGTATCTGAAGCTGGCTTGTAACCCGAATTTTAGCTCACAACTCAAAGCAAAAAATCGGCCGAGAGACGGCTCGTATCTCGAAAAACTCGTTAGTCGGGACACTTGTAAGTCAAGGCCCCACTGTATATTCTTCAGCGATAATACACTAAATCAGAAGTAACATTCATTTTCAGATTCGGATAATGGGAGGGGTGGGAAAGAGGGCACCGTCTGGCACCCTTGTGGGAACTGGCAGCCCTCAGCTGGTTCTCGCCACCCAGGCAGGCAGCGCGCCAGGGTGGCAAGGAGTCTTGAAGTCCGCGGGCAGGGACATTCTATGCTGGGACTTCAGGCCAGAGACTTTGACCGACACTCAGGGAGAATAAAAGTCAGAAAAGTCAAAATATTACCTAAGAAACCCAGTGGGAGAGGAAAAACAGGCAACTTCAAGAGCCTTCTCTTCCCCAAACTCTGCCCTGCTGACCCAAATGGCCTGCTCTTCCTCCTTCTCCCGGGCACCTATCTGCTTTGAAGTAAGTGGTCTCACACATGGATGGGCAAATGAATGGGGGGGGGGTGGAGGAAATGATCTTTGGTTTAATATTTCCTTCAGTAAACTGCATTAAAAACATTTTTGGCCCTAGCTGGTTTGGCTCAGTGGATAGAGCATTGGCCAACGGAATGAAGGGTCCTGGGTTCGATTCCAGTCAAGGGCACAGGCCTGGGTTGTGGGCTCGATCCCCAGTGTGGGGCGAGCAAGAGGCAGCTGATCAACGATTCTCTCTCATCATTGATGTTTCTATCTCTCCCTTCCTCTCTGAAATCAATACAAATATTGAAAAAACAAACAAAACATTTTTGTTGTTGTTAATCCTCACCCAAGGATATTTTTCCATTGATTCTTAGAGTGGAAGGGAGCGGGGAGACACAGAGAGAGAAGCTTCCATGTGAGAGACACATTGACTGGCTGCCTCCCCAGGGGGACTGAGATTGCAACTGAGGTACATGCCCTTGACCAGAATTGAACCCAGGGCCCTTCAGTCCTTGGGCTGACACTCTAGCCACTGAGCTAAACCAGCCAGGGAAAACCATTATTTTTTTTTTTTAAAGAAACAGCACAGCTCAGATAGGCCTCCATACCACCTGCCGGCTCAGCATTTGCAATCCTCCTTGACTGTGAGAGCTGGCCCGGCTCCCAGGCCCCCTGTGTCTGCGATACAGCCCGCGATCAGACACGGGGCTTGCACAACAGCAGCTTTTAACCCCACACTCGCTCCTGCCAGCGGGGGCTGCCACATGTCCCCTCTCTGCCCTGGTTCCCGAGAGCTGGGCCCCAGGCAGGGGTCGTGGCTGGAATCGGTGGCCGGCAGGGTGGGAGCGGGGAGCCGGGAAGCGGCTCCGCTGCACGTGGGTCCCGCGCAGGCCTGGGAGCTGAAGGTCGCGCCCACCTGGTGTCTCCGTGCAGGTCGCGGTGGTCGGAGGACGGTGCGGTCGGTGCCCTTCCTGCCGCCCTGGTGGGAGGCCAGCCGGAGCGGGCTTAGCTCGGCCGCCGCCAGCCCTTCCTTCTCCGGCGAGGGTGTTGGGAGGCGGGCGGGTGGCTGCTGGGCGGCTCAAAGGTCAGGCAGTGGAGGGGTGGGGAGCTGCGGGACCCAGAGCTGTCCGCCTCCTGTCCTCCTCCGCCATCGCGGGGGTGGTAGGGGGGAGGGGGTAGGGGCGGGGGGAGGGGGAAGGAGAGAGTCCGTGGGGGCAGGAGGTACCTGGAGGCGTGGAGCGCAGGGAGCCTAAGCTTTGGAGTTTGGATGAAAGCTCAAGTTTCTCTCTTGGACAAAACGTTGTTAAAATGCCTAACAGATGGGGTGGAGGGTCAGGTCCAACACACAGGTTAGTAAGGAAAGAACGAAGCAGTTAAATCCTCTCTTCCTAGTGGAGAATGATGACTGAAGGCCAACTCTTTTTTAAAAATGTATTTTAAAATATATTTTTATTGATTTCAGAGAGGAACGAAGTGAGAGAGAGAGAAGCATCAAAGATAAGAGAGAATCATGGATCCTACCCGCCCCCTACTGGGATGGAGCCTGCAACCGGGCTCATGACCCTGACCGGAATCGAACTTGGGACCCTTCAGTCTGCAGGCCAAGGCTCTATCCACTGAGCAAATCGGCTAGGGCAATTACTTGATTTTTGACAAAGATATCAGTGAAATCTAGTAAAGAAACAACTAGCTCTTATTTATTTTAATTTTTTCAGTTAAATCTACATTCAATATCATTTTATATTGGTTTCAGGTGTACGGCATAGTGGTTAGACAATCATATACTTTCCAGAGTGTTCCCCCTGATTTTCCAGTCCCCACCTGGCCCCATACACTTACTACAATATCACTGACTATTCCCTACTCTGTACTGTACGTCCCAACAACTGTTTTGTAACTACCCACCTGTACTTTAAAAAAAATATACATATTTAATTGATTTTTTACAGAGGAAGGGAGAGGGATAGTTAGAAACATCGATGAGAGAGAAACATCTATCAGCCGCCTCCTGCACACTCCCTACTGGGGATGTGCCCACAACCAAGGTACATGCCCTTGACCGGAATCGAACCTGGGACCCTTGAGTCCACAGGCCGACGCTCCATCCACTGAGCCAAACCGGTCAGGGCCCAGCTGTACTTCTCAATCCCTAAACGACCTTTTCAGTATGTGCTGCTATGTCAGCTGGAAATCCATACAGAAAAGTTAATTCACAAGAAACCAGAAACACCCATCAGAAAGGATATATGCAGCACAATTCACCAAAGCTAAAATTTGGAAACAGCCTAAGTGCCCATCAGCAGATGAGTAGATTAAAAACTGATACATCTACACAATGGAATACTACGCTGCTGTAAAGAAGGAGTTCTTACCATTTGCAACAGCATGGACGGAACTGGAGAGCATTATGCCAAGTGAAATAAGCCAGTCAGAGAAAGATAAGTATCACATGACCTCACTCATTTATGGAAAATAATGAACAACATAAACTGATGAACAAAAACAGATCCAGAGACAAATGGCAGGGGAGGGTGGGGCGGGGGTTAGAGAGCAACCAAAGGACTTGTATGCATGCATATTAGCATAACCAAGGGACACAGACACTGGGGCAGTGGGGGCTTGCCTGGGGTGGGAGTGGCTGCGGGGGGGGGGGGTCAATCGGAGAAAAAGGAGACATATGTCAAACTTTAGACAATAAAAAAAAGAGAGAGAAAAGTTAATTCACAGCTTTAAATAGGAAAGGTCAAAAATCACAAGTCAAGCAAAAAAGTGACTTTGCGGTAGGCAAACATACCTGGGAAAGTTGTGGCCACTAAAGAACGAACTGGTAACTTGAACTTCCTTGAAGTAAGAACGTCTGCTCATCAGAAGGTGGAAGTGGAGGCTGCTGCTGGCCGGCGCACCTGCAGCCTGTTGCTCTCCAGGCCCCATGGGCTGCGGGTGGGAATCCTCCCAGGGCAGGTGGCCGCGCCGTTAAATGCAGAGCAGCCTGCAGAGCAGAGAGGAGCCGGGCTGTGGGCTCGGCCACGGGAGCTGGAGATGCAGTTGCCTGACGTGCCGATGCGGCACATCTTCTCCTTCCTGGATGCCGCCAGCTTGCTGCGGGTGGGCCAGGTGAGCAGGGTGAGTGCTCCCCGCCTCCCCTCCCTCTCCTCCTGCCCCCTCTGTGGCTCTGTCTGAAATGACCATACTAAGACCCCCCCCCCCCCGCCCTCCTCGCTCCCCGGGTCTCGGGATCTTGGCTCCCTCAGCATCACACAAACACGGCCTTCCTTCCTTCCTTCCTTACCTTGACCTCGTTCAGGCCTGGCATGCCCATCCGTGGCCTTGGGAGTCAGATGAGTCTCTTGGCCACTTTGAGTGCCAATTAGCAAAAGAACAGAGCGGCACATGGAGTGTTGGGGGCGGTGGTTAGCATCCTTCACTCTGACAGCCACCTATTTTATTCAGTGAAAACGACAACAGGATGCACAGGAATCCTTGTGCTGACGGATCGTTCTCGAAGCCCCATGTCCAGCCCAGGAATCCCTCTGAACCTCCCAGGAGGGCCCTGTCCCGGCAGTGACTGCCTCTGCTGCCACCACGTCCCATGGGCCCTGCCTGGGAGGCTTTGAGAGCCGGGATGGTGGCCTGTTACCTCCCAGTGGGCCTTGCTCCAGGGACAAATGATAGTGAAGAAGGGGCCCACGTTTGGGTACCAATTGACTGCTTCTCTCCCCCTTCTCTCTCTCAAGTACTGGAAGAACATTGCGGATGAGGAGCACCTGTGGAGGTGAGGGCAGGCAGGGGAGGATGGGGGGCAGGCAGGGAGGGTGGGGGGCAGGCAGGGGAGGGTGGGGGCAGGCAGGGGGGGGCGGATAGGTGTCCCTGGGGTTTGAGCGGAGGCCTGGGGGCGGGTGGCTGGGCGGGGAGAGGCCTGAGAGGAGGCTGCAGCCGGTAAAGGTGGTGCCAGTGAGGCCCAGGGGCCAGGCCACCTGACGGTGCTGTGACTCTTTCCAGAAACCTGTGTCAGAGGAGATGGAGCATCTCCTGGGAGGGCCTGCAGGTACCCTCGTGGAAGCAGCTCTTCCTCACCCAGGCCAGGCGCGAGCGCTGCATGATGGGGGCCCAGCCGCAGGACTTTGCCTACAGAGAGGCCACGGGCGGCCTTGGTACGGGGATGGGCTACACAGTTCACTTGTTGGAGGAAATGCACTGGTTTCGGGGGGTGTGTGTGTGTGTTCTCATTCAGTGAAGAGAAAGGGAATGAAGACGTAATAGGACTGGACTGCTGTGATGACAAGCACTGGTCCCTGCTTCCAGCCGTGTTCCCTGTGACCTGTGCTGCTTGGAGAAGCCAGAGTGATCTTTGCACAACATCAAACTGAGCCCATGATTCCCTTTTCCCAAAGGCTTCCCATCCCTCCTTAGAATACACATTTTAAAGGAAAAGGAAACATTTATTTTTCATTGATTTCAGAGAGGAAGGGAGAGGGAGCCAGAGAAACATCAATGATGAGAGAAAATCATTGATTGGCTGCCTCCTGCACGCCCCATGCTGGGGATCGAGCCCATAACCTGGGCATGTGCCCTTGACCGGGAATCGGACCAGGGACCCTTCAGTCTGCAGGCCAATGCTCTATCCACTGAGCCAAACCATCTAGGGCTAAAGGAAAAAGAAACATTTTTTTAAATTAAATCTTTATTGTTCAGATTATTACATTTGTTCCTCTTTTTTCCCCCTCATAGCTCCCCTCCACCCAGTTCCCACCCCACCCTCCGCCCTCACTTCCCACCCAGTGTCCTCATCCATTGGTGCACGATTTTTGTCCAATCTCTTCCCTCACCCCCACACCCCTTTCCCCCGCAAGAATAGTCAGTCCATTCCCTTTCTATGTCCCTGATTCTATTATAATCACCAGTTCATTCTGTTCATCAGATTATTTATTCACTTGATTTTTAGATTCACTTGTTGATAGATGTGTATTTGTTGTTCATAATTTGTATCTTTACCTTTTTCTTCTTCTTCCTCTTCTTAAAGGATGCCTTTCAGCATTTCATATAATACTGGTTTGGTGGTGATGAACTCCTTTAGCTTTTCCTTATCTGTGAAGCTCTTTATCTGACCTTCACTTCTGAATGATAGCTTTGCTGGATAAAGTAATCTTGGTTGTAGGTTCTTGGTATTCATCACTTTGAATATTTCTTGCCACTCTCTTCTGGCCTGCAAAGTTTCTGTTGAGAAATCAGCTGACAGTCGTATGGGTACTCCCTTGTAGGTAACTGAGTTTCTTTCTCTTGCTGCTTTTAAGATTCTCTCTTTGTCTTTTGCTCTTGGCATTTTAATTATGATGTGTCTTGGTGTGGTCCTCTTTGGATTCCTTTTGTTTGGGGTTCTCTGCACTTCCTGGACCTGTAAGTCCATTTCTTTCACCAGGTGGGGAAAGTTTTCTGTCATTATTTCTTCAAATAGGTTTTCAATATCTTGCTCTCTCTCATCTTCTGGCACCCCTATAATTCGGATGTTGGTACGCTTGAAGCTGTCCCAGAGGCTCCTTACACTATCTTTGTATTTTTGGATTCTTTTTTCATTTTGCTTTTCTGGTTGGGTGTTTTTTGCTTCTACGCATTTCAAATCTTTGACTTGATTGTTGCGATCCTCTGGTCTGCTGTTGGGAGTCTGTATAATATTCTTTATTTCAGTCAGTGTATGCTTAATTTCTAGTTGGTCCTTTATCACAACATCGAGGGTCTCACTAGATTTCTTGAGGATCTCACTACATTTATCGGCGGCTTCTAGAAAATTCTTGAAAAACCTAAAAATTGTGGTTTTGAACTCTGTATCCAGTAGTTTGCTTTCCTCCATTTCTGTCATTTGAGTCCTGTTTCTTTGTCTCGGCATTTCTTATGCTTCGCTGTATCAATAGAGTGGCTTTCTGTGCTAAGTGTCCCAATTACCTGAGGTAGACACTCTTGGTGCACCCCCTTGTGGGCTTTGTGCATAGTCTTGTAGTTAAGCCTTGATTGTTTTAGGTAACACTGGGAGGATTTGACCTCCAGGCCAATTGGCTGTGAGAATCAGCTGTGTCTACAGTGGGAGAACTTCTGTGCTGAAGACACCCTTATGGGGCAAGGCTTGCTTCAGTGGGGCTTTGGTGCTCACTGAGTCTGCCCCCGAGTGTGTCCCTTATGGATCTGAGGAGTTGTAATTGGATGGTCCCACTCTGACCACTGGGTACACTGGCTCTTGGATCTAAGGAGGTGCTAATTTAGCCTCTGCCTGAGGCTACCCCAGCAGAAGCCAGCTGTAAAGCAATGCAAGTTGCCCTGGGGCCTTGGGGCAGCTGCAGTTTAAGTTATTTTCAGATTACAAAGGGCCGAGCCTTTCATATGCAAAAGTCTCTGTGCACAGTTTGGGCAGGGCGGGTCCCAGGGGATCAACAGGGCGGGTGCAAGCAATATGGCTGCTCTCAGTCCTGCCTTCAGAGGTCCCGGCAATCACTGCGAGTGCCTCCAAGAGAAAGCTGCCCTCGAGTTCCGACCGATGCCAAACAGTCCCGTTTCTCCCGTTTGAGTCTGGGTCCCCAGAGACTCACTCGGAACTGGAGCTCAGAGACTGAGACTCCCTCCCGATTGAAAAAGACAACCGTGTCCTCAGCCGCCAGCCCTCTCCGCATGCACCTCCGCACCTTTGTATTTCACTTCCGCACCGCACCTCCTCTGAGTCTCGGTATGCTTTTCTCTTTCGGAAAAGGAAACATTTAAATAAGTTATTTAAACAATTCTCTACTGGAGTGGTTTTTTTAAAAAAAATATTTTAAAATTAATTTCCGAGAGGGAGAGAAAGGGAGAGAGAGAAACATCAATGATGAGAGAGAATAACTGATCAGCTGCCTCCTGCTCCCCACAGTGGGGACTGAGCCCCCTCCCTGAGCACGTGCCCTTGACTGGGAATCAAGTTGTAATCTCCTGGTTCATAGGTCGATGCTCAAACACTGAGCCACACCAGCCGGGCATCTGATGGAGTGATTTTTATCCCCATTTATATCTGTGGAAACTGAGATTAACCAGGAGAAACACATCGGCCAACATCTCCCCAGTGGCCCCATTTGAATGACTCTGAAGCCCAATTTCCATCCTATTCTCCATTAAGGTTGCAAGAAACTTAAAATTATTGTTCCAGAATTCTCTTTATTCAGTTGGATCATACCTCAAGTATCTGGTGGCCAAGTATTGTCTGTGTTGCCTTCCAGGAATCTTGGGACCTTTGGCTTATTTCTCAGGAAGTGACCCCTCCACAAGTGGACAGAAGCCAGTCATTTGCACAGTGTCTTCAAGGTACATGCTCTATGCCTGGGATGTGCAGGAGGTGAGTCTGGCAATGAGCACACAGGTGACGCCTACCTGTGGCCACCCTGTCCCACAGGCAAAGCCAGTGCTGGGAGGAAGGTGCTACTCAATTGGTAACAGAAACGATTTCCAATTAGGTCTTCTAACCAGTAACCTGCGACTTTTTCATTTAGACTATAGCATGTAGAGAATTCACTTTTTAAGTTTTTTATCCTCACCCAAGGATATTTTTTCCAAATGATTTTTCTTAAAAGAGAATGGAAGGGAGGGAAGAGAAGGGGGGAGAGAGAAAGAAACATCGATGTGAGAGAGACACATCAATTGTTTGCCCTCTGCAAGGGCCCCGGGCTGGGGAAGAGCCTGCAACTGATGTATGTGCCCTTGACCAGAATCGAACCTGGGACCCTTCAGTCTGCAGGCCAGAGCTCTATCCACTGAGCCACACCGGCTAGGGCTACATAATTCCTTTTTTTTTAAAAATATATTTTATTGATTTTTCACAGAGAGGAAAGGAGAGGGATAGAGAGTTAGAAACATCAATGAGAGAGAAGCATCAATCAGCTGCCTCCTGCACGCCCCCTACTGGGGATGTGCCCGCAACCAAGGTACATGTCCCTGACCGGAATCGAACCTGGGACCCTTCAGTCCAAAAGCTGATGCTCTATCCACTGAGCCAAACCGGTTAGGACCATAATTCCTTTTTAATGTTCACTACCCCTCAAAGAGCTGAGATGTGTAGCAGAGTTTTCTTAATTCTATTCCCAGAAAAAAATACACCTGGTTTGGAGGAAGCTTCCACATAAGCCCTGGCAGGATGCACGCCCCGCACGTGGGAGAGTCCCCTGAACGCAGAGAGCGTTACTCTCGTTTCCAGGGCGTTATGATCTGGTCCAGCCCCGTCCAGCAGTGCAAGATCAAGTGTCTGGCGACCCTGCCGCAGAGATCGCTTGCAGTCACTGTGGATGCATGGAACACCATCAAAGTGTGGAACTGTCGGGATGTGAACCCTCTGGCGACGCTCACCATGAGCACGTGCTGCCTTTCCTTGGAAGTCTTCCTCACGGATGACGGCCCCTTCCTGATGGTGAGCGAGCCCTGCATCTGGAGGGGCCACAGCGCCGACAGTGCCCACAGCGCCCACTGTCTTGGCAAGTGGTGGGGCCCCATGATGGTCACCTTTCAACCTGCCCTCTTCTTTTTCTTTTTCTCTTTTTCTCTTTCTCTCTTTCTCTCTCTCTCTCTTTCTTTCTTTCTTTCTTTCTTTCTTTCTTTCTTTCTTTCTTCTCTTCCTTCCTTCCTTCCTTCCTTCCTTCCTTCCTTCCTTTCTTCCTTTCTTCCTTCCTTCCTTCCTTCCTTCCTTCCTTCCTTCCTTCCTTCCTTCCTTCCTTCTTCCTTTCTTCCTTTCTTCCTTTCTTCCTTCTCCTTTCTTCCTTCCTTTCTTCCTTCCTTTCTTCCTTCCTTCTTCCTTTCCTCCCCTTTCCTCCCCTTTCCTCCCCTTTCCTCCCCTTCCCTAAAGTTTTATATATGTCTCTTTTTTTCCCATTGACCACCCCCCCCCAGCCACTCACACCCCCAAGGGCAAGCCCCCACCGCCCCAGTGTCTGTGTCCATTGGTTATGCTAATATGCATGCATACAAGTCCTTTGGTTGCTCTCTAACCCTTCTTCCCCTGCCATTTGTCTCTGGATCTATTTTTGTTCATCAAATTATGTTGATCATTATATCCCCACAAATGAGTAAGATCATGTGATATTTATCTTTCTCCGTCTGGCTTATTTAGCTTAGCATAATGCTCTCCAGGTCCATCCATGCTGCTGCAAATGGTAGGATTTCCTTCTTTTTTACAGCGGCGTAGTATTCCATCGTGTGCACCACAGTTTTCTAATCCACTCATCTGCTGATGGGCACTTAGGCTGATTCCAAATCTTGGCTATGGTGAATTGTTCTGCTATGGACGTAGGGGTGAAATCAGAAACGCCCATCAGAAAGGACATATCGAGTGATTGCTGCCTGCATGCACCCCAACCAGGGCACCTGCAACTGAAGTACGTGCCTTTGATCAGAATTGAACCCAGGAGCTTTCGGTCCTCAGGCCGATGCTCTATCCACTGAGCCACACCAGCTAGGGCTCAACCTGTCTTCTTGCAGCATCTCTATTATCACATCCTCTGAGAGTCACAACATGCCAATGAATATTGGCCATACAAATCTTTATACTATCTTTCCCTTTATTATACCTCAGGTACGTTTCCTCAGTAATTCTTCTCAAAGAAAAACACCAACCTTCTTGAATTATTTTATATCTAGTTTCTTCTTTCAAGTGTGTCTTATTGTGGAGGACATGAACTTGGACAGGGCTATCATGTAGGGAGAGACGTGGGTTTGGAGAGACATGGAGAAAAAAGTAGAGTGTTGATGTGCAAATAAGTCAGTAGCCTGGGGTGGCTTCAGGGCTTAGAACATTTTATTCCTTGGGATCATCCCAGTGACCTTGTGGGGCAGGCTGGTCACATGATTAAAGAAATGGTGGTACCGCCCTAACCGGTTTGGCTCAGTGGATAGAGCGTTGGCCTGCAGACTGAAGGGTCCCAGGTTCGATTCCCAAGGGCACATGCCCGGGTTGCGGGCTCAATCCCCAGTGTGGGGCATGCAGGAGGCAGCCGATCAATGATTCTCTCTCATCATTGATGTTTCTACCTCTCTCTCTCCCTCTCCCTTCCTCTCTAAAATCAATAAAAACATATTTTAAAAAAAGAAAGAAAAATTGTGGATTGGTTGCCTCCCGTAGCTAGGGTTTCACGTCTCCTGTTGACGTGGTGGTGGGCGGTGGTTTGGTTTCAGATCGGTGACTCTGAAGGGGACATCTACACACTGACGGTGCCCGAGTTAAACAGCATTTCTCACGTGAATGCATTTGAGTACCCTGTGGACCATCTGCACTGCTCTCCCAACAGGAAATGGATCTTCGCCTGCGGGACCCACCAACACGTATTGCCAAAGGTAGGGGTTGCCCGGTGTGCCTCGGCCTCAGGAGGAAGGGGTCAGGGTTCGGAGGCTGGAGGCAGGAAGCATTAGCCAACAGACAGAGCTCAGCGAGGACCGGTCAGACCGCCCCCTCCTCTCAAGGCCACAGAACAGGCGGCATTCATTCCTAGAGCCAAGAAACACTGTCCTTGGGAGCAACAGCGTCCATTCACAGAGACAGATGTTTGTGAGTGAAACTTTGCGCATGGGGCCTGAGTCGGCCAAAGGGATGGAAGGTGAGAGAGAGAGACCAAGAAGTAGGACCTGGGTCACGTTGGCTCTCCTTACATGACGGTTAGCTGCCTGGGCTGGACAGTACCAAGCCCAGAAGGAAATAGAAGTGCACCGGCCTCTGAATGTCTCTGTGAGAAAGTGGTATGTGAGCAGGCCTTATTTTCATTTTCTTTTTTAATTCTTACCTGAGGATATTTTTCCCACTGATTTTTAGAGAGTGGAAGAGAGAGGGAAAGACAGAGAGAAATATCAACGTGACAGAAACACATGGATTGGTTGCTTCCTGCTCAAGCCCCCATCAGGGCCCAGGCCAGGGAGGATCCCACAACTGAGGTACATGCCCTTGGCCAGAATCAAACCCAGGACTCTTCAGTCCACAGCTCTATTCACTGAGCCAACCTGGCCAGGGTGAGCAGGCCCTTTTACATGGTGCATGCGCATGGGCACCAGAGGGCAAGGAACTCAGGGAGGCAGCAGCAAAGGCGGATCAGCCCTTGACACGTCCTCCAAGAAGGGAGATCCTACTTGGCCAAATGCAACCTGATTGGGGGTTGGGGGTCCAGTGTGGCCGCATGCTTTTGGAACCCAAGGGGAGTTTTGGGGACTCTGCTCTGTGTGTGACCATGATGGGCAGGATAGAAAGACAGTGAGTGACAAGCAGTGACTATGCAAGGCTTCCTGAGATTCAGAATAAAGCTTTGGCCATAGTGGAGGATTTTTAAAAAATTGATTTCAGAGAGGAAGGGAGAGGGAGAGGGAGAGAGAGAGATAGAAACATCCATGATGAGAGAGAATCACTGATCAGCTACCTTCTGCACGCCCCCTACTGGGGATGGAGCCCGCAGCCCTGGCATGTACCCTTGATCTGAATCAAACCAGGGACCCTTCAGTCCATAGGCCGATGCTGTATCCACTGAGCCAAACTGGCTAGGACAGTGGTTCTCAACCTGTGGGTCGCAACCCCTTTGGGGGTCGAACGACCCTTTCACAGGGGTCCCCTAAGACCATCGGAAAACACATCTATAATTACATATTGTGTTTGTGATGAATCACTATGCTTTCATTATGTTCCATTTGTAACAATGAAATTGGGGGTCACCACAACATGAGGAACTGTATTAAAGGGGTGCGGCATTGGGAAGGTTGAGAACCACTGGGCTAGGGCCACCGTGGAGGATTTTTAAGGAGGATTTCCTGGTGTGGCTCCTGTACTGACGCTGTAACCTCTCCCTGCTCCTGAACGCACGTGCACTGCTCTCTCCTCAGGTGTTTCTGGTGGAGTGCTTACTGAGACCGGCCGTAGGCAGGGCCCCTCTGTTCGTCTCTCTGCCATTTGCATTTTGCAGCCAAGCCTGCTGGGCCGTGAAGTGCGTAAACAGGCTGACAATTATGTTCCAAGGAGACTTTTTCAGAAGGACAGGGTTCACCACCTTTGATCTGACAGCCGAGAGCACTGGGGACAGCACCGCCATCGAAGGTAAGCCAAGCTGCCTTGTCTCTCCTGCCAGTCACACTCGCACTCATGTTAAGCCAGTGATGGCAAACCTATGACACGCATGTCAGAGGTGACACGCGAACTCACTTTTTCGGTTGATTTTTCTTTGTTAAATGGCATTTAAATATATAAAATAAAATTCAAAATATAAGTCTTTGTTTTACTATGGTGGCAAAGATCAAAAAATTTCTATAGGTGACACGGCACCAGAGTTAAGTTAGGGCTTTTCAAAATGCTGACACGCCGAGCTCAAAAGGTTTGCCATCACTGTTTAAGCTACAGACGTCTGTAAATAGGCCAATCTCTGTGCAGGGGCATGGGCTTTCTTAACTGGAGGCTACCCCGTGCCTGTCTGACTGTTAAAAAAACCCACATTTTTATGATTTCGGAGAGGAAGGGAGAGAGAGATAGAAACATCCATGAGGAGAGAGAATCGTGGATCGGCTGCCTCCTGCAGGCCCCCTACTGGGGATCAAGCCTACAACCTGGGCATGTGCCCTGATCGGGAATCAAACCGTGACCTCCTGGTTCATAGGTCGTGGCTCAACCCTGAGCCACGCTGGCCGGACGAGAGTCTAATTTTTCATTCAGGGTAAGGATATGGTTCTGACTACGGGACCCAAAATCTTCCTGGTCGTGTGTGTGTATGTTTTACATGAAAACAGCCCGTGAGATTGCAAGCTTCATGCTGCCAGGTGGTATGGACGTTCCTGTTTGGATGGGAGTCCGGGACGGAACCGCAGTTGTCTTTGAAAGCGGGCCACGCCTGTTTCTCTTCACCATCCATGGCCTCCTGCTGAAAGAATTTCATGACCATGAGAACACCATCTGCTACTTATGGACGGTATGTATGCTCTTCTCCTCCCGGCACTCCGTCTCCAACGTGGATGCTGGGCCGCTCACCCTGGGTCTCCTTTGCAGGACTCTGTCCACGTCCTCACCACGTCCAGGGATAACTACCTGCACCTGTACATGTGGGAAGAGGAAGGCTGGCATCCGCACCTTCGGAGCTGCTGTCACCTGGAGCACAGAAAGGGTGACATTAGGCCAAGCTGGTAAGCCCTGCTTTGTAACTTAAACTCTTCCTAACGATTTTAAATGTCTACATTAAACAAATTAATAAAGGGTTACTAGGGCCCTAACTGGTTTGGCTCAGTGGATAGAGCGTCGGCCTGCGGACTCAAGGGTCCCAGGTTCAATTCTGGTCAAGGGCATGTACCTTGGTTGTGGGCACATCCCCAGTGGGGAGTGTGCAGGAGGCAGCTGATCGATGTTTCTCTCTCATCGATGTTTCTGGATCTCTATCCCTCTCCCTTCCTCTCTGAAAGAAAACAATAAAACATTAAAAAAAAAAAAAGGGGGTTACTAGGATTTAAAAAAAAATTTCTTTGCCCTAGCCCAGCGGTTCTCAACCTGTGGGTCGCGACCCCTTTGGCGGTCGAACGACCCTTTCATAGGGGTCGCCTAAGACCATCCTGCATATCAGATATTTACATGATGATTCATCACAGTAGCAACATTACAGTTATGCAGTAGCAACGAAAATAATTTTATGGTTGGATCACAACATGAGGAACTGTATTTAAAGGGCCAGAAGGTTGAGAACCACTGCCCTAGCCGGTTTGGTTCAGTGGATAGAACGTCAGCCTGGGGACTGAAGGGCCCCGGATTTGATTCCGGTCAAGGGCACATGCCCGAGTTGCAGGCTCGATCCCAGTAGGGGGCATGCAGGAGGCAGCTGATCAGTGATTCTGTCTCATCATGGATGTTTCTATCTCCCTCCCTCTCTTTTCCTCTCTGAAGTCAATAAAAATATATTTTAAAAAAGATTCTTTGAGGATATATATATGACTGGACTTAAGCCCCCAAAGAGAATTGCTTATTCTTTTTTAAAAAATATATTTTATTGATTTTTTACAGAGAGGAAGGGAGAGAGATAGAGAGTTAGAAACATCGATGAGAGAGAAACATCGATCAGCTGCCTCCCGCACACCTCCTACTGGGGATGTGCCCACAACCCAGGCACATGTCCTTGACTGGAATGGAACCTGGGACCCTTCAGTCCGCAGACCGACGCTCTATCCACTGAGCCAAACCGGTTTTGGTGAGAATTGCTTATTCTTGAAGTCCACAGATTTTGCAATAGATTTCAAAGGGCTTTCCAAAATGGCTCTCAGTTTATGTTCCTACAAGTGCTGTGTGAAGATTCAGCCTTGATGTCCCATCTTTACTTGTAAGTTTCTTGTTTGTTTTAGTTCATTAGTCATTTGAGTTGCTTCTTTCATGAACTGCCTTTATCTTTATTTTACTTATTTTTTCTAGATTGCTTGCCTTCATCTACATTGTTTTTCTTTTTTCATTTTTAGAGAGAGAGTGTAAGGGAAGGAGGGAGGTGGGGGTGAGAGAGAGAGAGAGAGAAAGAAAAAGGGAGAGAAAGAAATATCGATATGAAAGAGACACATCCTGTCTATATGTCTCTCAATTTATTTAGGTCTACTTTGGTTGCCTCTTGGAGGTGGTCCGATCCAGGCCAGGGATGGAACCAGCAACCCAAGTACCTACCCTTGACTGGGAATCAAACCCATGACCCTTTGGTGTGTGGGCTGACGCTCTAACCACGGAGCACACCGGCTGGGCAGTAATCGGCATGTTTGCCAGGTCTACAGTTACTCAAAACCAAATCCAAAAGTGACTTCTAAGATCAAAGGGGTAGTTGATTTGAAGAGAATATTTATGTCTTTGTCAGATTCAAATTTAGTATCATCAACAATAGACCTACTTCCCCTTTTGTCCACTTGAGGATGTTGTTTTGTCTTTTGGCAGCTATGACCCCATAGCGATCTGTGACAACACGAGCATAGTGTGTGTGGTGTCAAAGTGCGGTGGAGCCAGCGTCCTGGTGATGTATTCTTTGAATATGTGATACGGAAACTAATGCAGTTCACCTGGCATCGACTTCCTCATTGTAGTAAAGAGAATTCTATTTGCAAACCCAGAATGATTATTTTAGTGATATTAAAAAGAAAACCCCAGCAGTAATTTATAACGAATCAGACACTGTGACAGATACCACAGATCACACACTAGTAAGACAGGGGATGGGGAAATGTGTCCTTTGCCTGTGCAATCAGGGAGAGAGGAAAATACTAAGGTAGCAGAATGTGAATGGTCACACAAATACACAATTCCAGACAATTCCACAGAAGCAACTTATAGGGCAGCGGTTCTCAACCTGTGGGTTGCGACCCCTTTGGGGGTCGAACGACCCCTTCACAGAGGTCACCTGAAGACCATTGGAAAACACATCTATAATTACATATTATTTTTGTGATTAATCACTATGCTTTAATTATGTTCAATTTGTAACAATGAAATTGGGGGTCACCACAACATGAGGAACTGTATTACAGGGTCGCAGCATCAGGAAGGTTGAGAACCACTGTTCTAGGGGAAAGCGTGGGTTTAGGTTGAGGCTGGTTTCAAAGGGAAGGCATCTGTGTCAGGTAGTCAGTGTTCTTGCCTGTAAGGAACCCAACTAAATCCTGTAAAACTTAAGCCAAAGGAGATGTATTAGAAAAATATAGAGGTTCATATCGAAACATAGCTGGAAGAGACTCAGGATATACATGGCAATAAAAATGCTCAAAAAGACCGAGAAATAGAAAATACATCAAAGGCTCGATCACATGAATGTGCATATCCCCAGAGCCATTTTAATGGATATGATAAAGAACTGGCCCCCTTCCTCGTATCACTAGCTCAGGATTCCAAGTCCTGGGAGCGAGTCCTAACAAATCAAGCCTAAAACACAAGGGCCTACTCTCCTGACTTTGTGGGGAGGGGAGGGTTGGAAGAAAAATGATCTGAGGGGTTATAGATAGTAGTCTAACGGAAATGTAATCTCCATGGGAGATTTCTCCAAAGAGCCATGTGGGTGTCCAAGTGAAGTGCCTACCCCTCTCTGTAGAAACAAATTTGAAGCTGTGACCAGGAAGATAGGGGAAGGAAAGCTCACTGAAGGGTCTGTGCCAGCGGTTCTCAACCTGTGGGTCACGACCCCTTTGGGGGTCGAACGACCCTTTCACAGGGGTCGCCTAAGACCATTGGAAAACACATATATAATTACATATTGTTTTTGTGATGAATCACTATGCTTTCATTATGTTCCATTTGTAACAGTGAAATTGGGGGTCACCACAACATGAGGAACTGTATTAAAGGGTCGTGGCATGAGGAAGGTTCAGAACCACTGGGCTATGCAGAAGGGCCAGGTTGGGCACAGAAGATGACCTGAGATGCATTATAATCAGTCCCCTGTCTGATTGATTCAGAATCAAAGGAAGTCTATGTGGGTGGAGTCAGTGATGGGGAGTAGACACTAAGACAGTGATGGCGAACCTTTTGAGCTCGGCGTGTCAGCATTTTGAAAAACCCTCACTTAACTCTGGTGCCGTGTCACATATAGAAATGTTTTGATATTTGCAAACATAGTAAAACAAAGGCATATTTTTGATATTTATTTTATATATTTAAATGCCGTTTAACAAAGAAAAATCAACCAAAAATTGAGTTCGCGTGTCACCTCTGACACACGTGTCATAGGTTCACCATCACTGCACTAAGACAATGTGGAAAGTCAAAGTGTCAACTCAGAAATTTGCAGGATGTAACTCAAATATTTAACATATTAAGTTCAATGTAAGATTATTTTGTTTTCTTTTGTGTTTTGTAGCAAAGGAGAAAAAAGACCTATATTTTTTAGACCTGTTTTTTTAAGAAGTCTTTTTCATTGCCATTTAGAAAATTATTTAAAAGTAGTCATAGAGTCCTGGCCTGTGTGGCTCAGTTGGTTGAGTGTTGTCCCATGCACTGAAAGGTCGCCAATGCAATCCCCAGTCAGGGCACATGCCTGGGTTGTGGGCTCCATCGTTGTTCAGGGTGTGTGTGGTAGGCAGCCGATTGATGTTTCTCTCCCTCTCCCTTCTTCTCCCTCTAAAATCAATGAAAACATATTTTAAAAAATAAAAATAAAAAATAAAAGTATCCATAGTGACTGAAGAGAGCCAGTTGAGCCATTTTCTTTCTTCTTCTTTTTAAAAATATTTTTATTGACTTCAGAGAGGAAGGGAGAGGGGGAGAGAGATAGAAACATCAACGATGAAAGAGAATCATTCATCCTGCACGCCCCCTACTGGGAATGGAGCCTGCAACCCAGGCATGTGCCCTGACTGGGAATCAAATCGTGACCTCCTGGTTCATAGGTTGAAGCTCAACCCCTGAGCCATGCCGGCTGGGCGAGATTTGTGCATTTTATTGAATGCATTGAATCCAAGGCCAGGATTCCTCATTCTTTATATCTCTTAATCTAGTTTCCCATTCCTTGCCATCTGCACTCTCCTGAAACCCCTTAGTACACATGCAAATCACAGTCATTATGGCATCCTAATTCCCCTTTAATTTACCAAAGAGGGAGGGCCAGAAACCAATATGCAAAGGCACAAGGTTTTATTTAGGCAGTCAGCAGTTTCTGGAGGGTTCCTGAGTCCTGCTTAGTGTCCCAGTAGAATGGCTGTGCAGGATTCAGGATAAAGTGCTGTATATCTTTTGAGCTGGGAAACATGAACACGAGTATCAGTACCTTGGAGTTATATTGCTGTGTCAGCTGTTAACAGTACCTGATGTCTTTTCCATGATTTGAGATAATACAGGGGCAGCTCGTACCTGTTGGTGATAAAGCTGGAGGCATTGTATGAGTTCCCTGTGGTAATTAGTCGTATCAGCTTGTAATAGGGTAGAGTCTAGGATTGGAAGTACTTTCCAAATGTGTCAGGTAGGTCATTATCAACTCAGAAGGAGGTAACTTGTGGATCCTAGATGGGACAGATCTTATTGCCATCAAGGAAAATACTTTAGGCCACGCACGTTGAAGGGGTTTCTGAGCACTTTGACAATTTTGGTAACGTGGGGATAAGGACACATATGTAATAACTTAATCAATAAAAAAATTAAAAAAAGAATTCTATTAGTTATCTGCACTTTCCTAAATTTATGGATGACAAGGATGGCGCCATTCTAAGAGATAAGAATAAAAAATTACGTTGTGACGGTGTTTTGTATCTTTTTATTTTAAAAATACATTTTATTGATTTCAGAAAGGAAAGGAGAGGGAGGGAGAGAGAGAAACATCAATGATGAGAGGGAATCATTGATCAGCTGCCTCCTGTACACCCCACACTGGGGATTGAGCCCAAAACCTGATCATGTGCCCTGACCGGGAATCGAACCGTGACTTCCTGGTTCATAGGTCAATGCTCAACCACTGAACAACACTGGCCAGGCTCTTCTCTCTTATTTAGAAACTTCCCATGCCATGACCAGTTTGGCTCAGTGGATAGAGCGTCGGCCTGCGGACTGAAGGGTCCCAGGTTCGATTCCGGTCAAGGGCATGTACCTTGGTTGCGGGCACATCCCCAGTAGGGGGTGTGCAGGAGGCAGCTGATTGATGTTTCTCGCTCATCAATGTTTCTAACTCTCTATCCCTCTCCCTTCCTCTCTGTAAAAAATCAATAAAATATATTAAAAAAAACTGCCCAGGCATCCAAAGATTACTTATTAATTAACCGAATTTATCTAAGGTCTGAAAGTTATTCTAGTTATGAGAAAAGAAGAAAAGAACTTAATTCCAAGATAAAGAGCTTTTGCTATGACTGAACCTTTAAAAATTAGTTTACCATTAGGACCTTCAAATTTCAATTTTAACTAACATGTGAATCCGTGTGATTTGTAGCAATTTAAAAATTTCATAAAATTAAAGTCTTCACAAAAGATATTATTCCATTTAGCTGTTCATATGTATATGTATTCATATATATTCATACACACACACATGAAGTTATGGAAACAATGGTAACAACTCACAAAACCAGTGTGGGAAATTCAATTTAAATAATTAAACCAAAATATTGTGCTGACAGTATTTTTAAATGGGATCGAGCTGAGCCTGCAACCCAGGTACCTGCCCTTGACCAAGAATCAAACCTGAGACCCTTCAGTCTAAGGCAGTGGTTCTCAACCTTCCTAATGCCGCGACCCTTTCATACAGTTCCTCATGTTGTGGTGACCCCCAACCATAAAATTATTTTCATTGCTACTTCATAACTGTAATGTTGCTATTGTTATGAATCGTAATGTAAATATCTGATATGCTATATGCATTTTCCGATGGTCGCGACCCACAGGTTGAGAACTGCTGGTCTAAGGGCTGACATTCTATCCACTGAGCCAAAGCGGCTAGGGCAGGACTTATATTTTAGACAAAACCAATCTCCTCATGTGGGTTTCTTCCCTTTTAGTTCTAAGGTACCTCTTAAAGTAACAATCTCATTCATGTCAAACATTCTCCAATGTGGCCATGGTAACTTCAAGTGACCCTACAGAAATTATGCCAGGTAGAGACACGGGAACAGGAAAATATGAAGGAAGCAGGTGTTTAGTAGAGGAGAGTTGCAGTTTTAGATTCAGAAAACCCTGTGAGAACTTCCATGGGCCGTAAGGATGGTGCTTGTGCAATCTTGTGTCTCTAGAGCAGGGGTGGGCAAACTTTTTGACTCGAGGGCCACAATGGGTTCTTAAACTGGACCGGAGGGCCGGAACAAAAGCATGGATGGAGTGTTTGTGTGAACTAATATAAATTCAAAGTAAACATCATTACATAAAAGGGTACGGTCTTTTTTTTTTAGTTTTATTCATTTCAAACAGGCCGGATCCGGCCCGCGGGCCGTAGTTTGCCCACCCCTGCTCTAGAGCCTGCCTGAAGGCCATTACCTATCAGAGGCTACATGGAACCTCCTGAGTCTGGGTTGATGAAACAAAGTTCTTAAGGACACAAAGACATAACTGAAGAAGTCGTTTTAAGGTTTTAAT